CGGGGGCGGGGGCGGGGATAGGAATGATGATTCAGACAAGCACTTTCATAATAAGCTAATTCCACCTGGTATTTAGTCCCATCACAGACACCCATCCCAAACCCCACAATGCTGATTCTACCTAGAAATAGCCAAAACAAAGAATTTCACTTCCATGGTCTACAAGCTTTGCTTGTCCTCTCCCTAAATAAAACCAGAGAGATGGAGCAATCTTTGGAAATCATGTGAAAACCAATACATCTGCGGTAGGGAATTTGGAACAGAATATATTGAAAAAATTAATAGATCTACCAAAACCTAAGATTGAAAGTAGTATGTGAATAGGCAGCCTCCCAATGTGTGTTTTCTCCCAGTACAGACAGCATATACAGTAGGGTCCAAATTAGACTCATTCCTGGGGTTTGGCTTTATGCAAAAGAAACCAGTGTTAAGGTAGCAAAGCTTAGCTCAGGTCTCTTCCCCAGACTTGGCTGTTCTTACAACAAACCTCTTAGGACTCCCAAGTGTTTGCTGCAGGTCTTCGCGCTCTCGAATTTTTGCTGTCTCCTAACCAAGTGAAGTCCTCAGCCAGCTTCCTCACTCGGCAGCTGTCACCCAGTCCTAATACGTAACAGGGAGGACAGTGTCCCACCCAGCTGGGATGCACTGAATACTCAATAAATGGTCTTGTGAAAAGAAATGCAAAAAAGAAGCAGCACCCTCACTATTGCTCCCATCTATCCCCGGAGGGATAGAGGTTGCTAACCTGTCACACTGTGGTTGTAGTTAAAATTCAGCTAAAGCACATAAACACAACTTCATGGAGGGAATGAAATTGCACAAATGGTCTTATAAGAAGCCTTTGACCCGCTGTCTACAACTTCTAAAACATGCCATTCCAGTCAAGGTTGGTCTGCACCTGGCTAAGGAGGATACGGGGGGGAGGAGGAGGAGGACAGCAGGAGGTAACATGAGAATTGGTGGCAGCATGTACTTTTGTGGAGGTTAACAGCCAGGGGAAGAGTCAATGGGAAAGGATGAACATAGTTACATAGTTACTGATGGCTTAGCTGCAGTCTTTACTGCAGTGTTTTTATTGTTATTTGGCATAAAACTAGCATAAGCATGTTCCGCTGTACTGAAATCACACCTTCATTTGCCAGTGCAGATGTACCCTGTAAATGTAAAGCCACTCCAAAGTCCTTGTTGTTACAACCTTCAACAGCCTATGGAGGAATACAGACTGCGTAGTGACTATTCTAGCACAAATTCCCTCTGGCCCTAGTTACAGAAACCACCGTTTAAAAGACACAATTTAGTTATAAAGTGCACATTAGAAGCTGCTTCACTGTCTCTCTCCTTGAAGTGTATATTGAGCTCCCCATAAAGGATGTTTACATTACAAGATCAGTTAAAAAGAAGCTTTAAAGAAGCTATCGAGAGTTTCAGCCCATGGTTACACTTTCTTTCTAGCCCTACTGCAAAGCATTTGGGATTATCCTAGGACACCAGGGGTGAGGGCGTTAGCGAAGAGACTGGCTGGATAGAGAAAATGTGCTGTGGACTGGTTGTGAATTTGGCAGGAAGGGGAAGTTACCCCACATGTGACTTTGGGTTACAGCACACATTGAGCAGTACACATTCCCTGGTGACAGGCGCTTCCTCACTGCACTCACAAGACTGCCATCACTTCATAGGACTACAAAGGGGATTTGAATTCATTCCTGTTTGTTTGCCCCAACACATGACAGTGAAGAATGAACTATCTTTCAAGCTAAATGACCAAGCGAACAAGCACATTTGGGAGAGATTTGTTCAACTAATGTTAAAAGTTAAAGATTACCTTTACTGTACAGTAATTGTTCACTGAGGAATCTTCTTTCAGGCTTTAAATAATGTTTTGTATTATCACTGTATTACTCACTTTCAGGAAACATGGGGTTTGCAGTACAGAGGTAGATCCATATTGGTTAAAATTCATTTGGCATCTCCCTCCCCATCTTTAAAAAAACTTTCAAAAAACAAACCTGAAACATTAAATGATGTTTCTTACGCTTTAAATCCTGGCATTTTAAAACATAGGCTGGACAGATTTGTAGATTGTTGAGACACTTTCAGTTTGTGGCTGAAAAAGTGCTGAGGATATCGGCTGAAACTTCTGCAGGCTGCACAGAAAGAGCATTTCAAAGCTCTGTACTTGCCGGAGTTCACTCCTCTGTGCAGTAGCACATTATTCTGGAAGCAGTGCTTCTACTCAACTCTTTAATGTTTTTCCAGAAAGAAAAGCACATTAGCTGAGTACCTCTCTTCCACAGTGCTACTGCTACAAATCAGAGTTTTCATACAAGCAATGCCGAGTGAAGGAACTGGCATGCCTCTACAGTATGTATGTCTTTATCTCAGTTCCCAGCATTTAACTGGGATCATAGTACTCAGTCCTGTTTGCTTCCCAGTCTATCACAGGGCTCTGAAATCATGGTATCAATTGCATACCACTATGGTATGCAAGCTGCTTTACAGTCCTGCACACCAGCCTGCACCCTTCGCCTTGGAGAGGAAACCACTGCTCTGAAATTGTCCATGACGGATCCAGAAGCTCCTGCTGGCATTATGTCTCAGTGGGACTGGAGGATGGCTTGGGTGTCCACATGGCCCAGAAAAGCGGCAGCTGCTGCTCCGGATCCTGCTGCCTCTGCCATCCCTGTGCAAGCGATACTAGCACAAACAAAATTAACATCTGCCCTGTAACGTGAGTTATCCTGACTCAGCAGCACTAATACCTGAAATCCCTTAGGGCTTGGTCCGGAAAAGAAACGACGTGTAGAATTTACATTCAGGAATTGTCCTGCCAGGAACAGTTCCTTGCTTTCCTTCCCAATGCGCCAGCAAGATTAGCACTGAATCCACACAGAAAAACCCACTGAAGACAGTGAGTGTAATATGTAAATGTACCCAGCTACAGAAATTAAGGACTACATGTATAAGGAAGCTTCTTCCCCTTTACTGATAAACCATTTATATTTGCTCCATCTCAAAATACTAGGTACTGTTTTGAGATATTGTTGAAATGCTACTCAAAAACTGTTTCATAAACAACAGAATACTTAGGAGAAGATCACTGAAGGGGCAAAAGTGATAAAGTAATTAATAAAAAACTGTAGGATTGGATTTAAAAGCGACCAAATGGTACCAAATGAAAGGCGAGAATGCTTTGAGGAATAACTGTGAGTGCTGATTCCTCCGCTTACAGAATTTACACTGATAATGAGCAGTATCAGAGATAATTTAATAAAAAATAATCTTGTATCTCAAGCCTTGTCTTTCTCAAGATTGACTTTAATGTTTGCTGCTGAAATCCAAAGTGCTGGAAGCGTGCATGTACAAGAATATAGTTTGAAACCTAGTAACTCATTATATAAAGCCACTTCAGGATTGCTGAAGATATTATTTTCTCTGCTCACTGTCACATAATGCACATGTTTCTAAACACCCATCTGCATTTCTTCTGTTTCTGTGACAGTGGCTGCCTTTTAATGTTGTCCTCAGCAAGGGAAGAATCTACAGACTTCAATGCTGCTTCCACTAATGTTATTATGGTAGTATCCCCTGTACTATGATCTTTTGAAAATAGATCATCTCTATTCATATATTTTAATACGACACTAGAAACGTGACTATTTCAATTGAATGCTTCTTTATACCATACTTTGAATATTTAAGACCTCTCTTTGCTATGTTAAAAACAGGCACTGTTGAATAACTGCTGTATTTCCCCAGAGAAGAGTTCAGCTTGCCTAGTTCCTCATCCTGCAATTACTTATGCATGTAGTTAAGAATACAAACACTTCCCTTGTAATCACATGGAGAAGGATATGCTGAATCATGGCCTTTGCTATATAGTCTCAGCGTCTAGAGGTACTCCCATAATTCACTAATAATAATGATCCTTTTTTCTCCTACTTAAAAGAGCATTGTATCAACACAGAAGGTTTTGCAGTGCACGTTTTCACAGGAAAACATCTTTTTGTTCTAAGTATTATCTGTCTGAAGGTAAAGTAAGAAACATTTTAACCACCCTTTCAGCAAATATTGATTCAGCTTTTAGCCAAGCTTTTTGTTTGTCAAGAAAAAAGAATCAAGGTATGAAATCCTATTGACTGAACTGCTAAACTCAGTGGCAAAATTCTCATTGGCTTCAGTATGGATCAGGATTTCATGAGGAACGTTTATGTATGTAGCATGGGCTAGCTCTGGTAGTGTGGAGGCTTACAGGGCACTTGCAAAATAAAAAAACAACATAGACTCAGCCATGCAGAACTCCCAGAAATTGCATAGACTGCCACACAACTTTTTGAGCTTTCCAATCACACACACCCCTTCTCCAACTAAAAATGTTAGTTGGAGAAGGACTAAATGTCTTCCTGCTAAATAAATAAACCATAAAGAAAAGCCTAGAAAACACCAACTAGTACCAATGTAGATTTTGTGAGGCTTGTATATAAAAATAATATATATAATAAAATCTCTTTTTCCCCTCATTCCTCGCTCAGGCATGATTGAAGCCAAGTATGGAGAATAAACTGATTAATCAATTATTCTTTAGAACCTTGACAAAAAACTTTTTATAAATTTTATATATTCCTGTTAATGCTCTAGTACTGAACATTCTGAAACAAATCCAATGTACACTTCTGCTGTTTCTGGTTTTACATGCCGTCTTGCACTTTATAGAGATGGCTTTCATTAATACTGAAATAAACCCAATGCTGTTTTTACTCAGTAGGCTTTTGGCCACTCTATTCCCCTCCTCCCCTTTATGTGTCAGATGTAAATTTCTTGACAAATATTCTGTTTCATGCTTCCCCACTGCTGGCATGCAACATCCTTAAAGATTCAAAAGAGATAGAAAGGCTAAAAAGGCAACAGGTAGGTAATACAGCAGACGGCTCTGTCTCCGGTTAAACTTGCTCAGAGTAACAAGCAGTAAGATTGTATTTTTTCTTCAGAGTGCAGGTGGAGAAGCCATGAATGAAAACAAATTTCTGAACACAGACTCCAGCACAGGATCAGTGGAAACAACTGTCAAGCCGTTACCATTTAAAGATCCAAACTTCATTGTAAGTATATTATTTTAACAATTTGAAATTCTAAACTCTTCAAATAGAACATTAACTAGGATTCTATTTAACCATATTGCTAATGTAAATATTAAGAAAGTCAGCTTAACAGCCAAATAAAAGGTCGGCAGTTTTAAAGAAATTCACCTCAAGTCCATGCCACACCATGGTCCAAAGTGCACACTATATTATAGCATGAAAATGGCATTGATCCAGAGGCAGAACTATTATATTAAACTCTGGAACAGAGTCAGAAAACCTGCTAGATTAAGGTAAGCGCAGAAGTTTTATAGTGTGGTATCTCACAAACTACCACAGCTAGAGAGGAATAATTTATATCGCTGTGAATGTAGGAATCCCATCTCCCAGTTCCTAGCCAAGGCAGGCTGCAAAACAGTTGAACTAGAAATCAACCAGAGAGTCACTAGCGACTGGCATTTTGCTCCTCTCCCAATCCCTGAAACTCTAATAAACCTGTGGTGTCTGTTCTTCCGGTAATTGCTAGATTTAGAAGCAAACGCTCTGTGAGGTTTAAATTCAGGGAGAAGGTGAAGGAAGACTACAGCTAGTAATGCAGTCACTGCTGGGTTTGTTTTTAATATCTTTTTATCTTGCTGTGCCAGGGCCAACTCATTGGCACACTGTACAAACGCTTTCTAGACAAGCAAACTTCTCAGACTGCTGGTCCTAAGCCAGTACTTAGAAAGAAGGATTTTATCCCAGATTTCATTCTGTATGAATAAGATACAATATCTCACAGCATAAAACCTGAGTAATCGGGCTTCGCACAGCTCACTAAGCACAGGTTTGGCAGAGGGTATAAAATTAATCTCTGACTTGCAAGTTGCTCTATGTCTGCTTTGCAGACAACTTCTGTCACGAGAGGGGCACTCAAACGACTGTATACTTGGCTCACTCTGATCCTCCAGTGAGCACCAGCGTCTTTGAGAAATGGGGCTTATTGGAAAAGCTCCATCTGCACCCAGAGGCATTCCGTATAGCTTCCATATAGGATTTAAACAGCCATGAGGCCTTGTGCTGATCCTTCAGCACGTCTTAGAGGGATGTCGTCATTTCCAAAGAGGCAATACTAATGTCTGCATGCTTGAAATAATAATGAATGTACAGGGCCTTTGGCAACTGCTGCAGAAATAATAAGCAGTTATAATAAAAACATGAAATTGTCCTCCCCGATACAGTAACTAATTTGAGAAAAAATGTATTGAGTTTTAACTAGCTTTTTGTTGGTATGAACTGCTAGTAACAATGTGGTTGACTTTTCGCATCCTTCCAGCCTAATTTACCTTAAAAGGAAGAAAATAAATCAATTAATGTCTATCTCTCATAAATATGCCCAAGTTTGAACCATCAGCTTACTGCAGAGGATAGACTTAAAAGCAGAGAAGAAGGAAGAAATTACCTTTTTCTAAACTTCCTGAATGGAATTTGCATCTGTTGGCGATGGGGAAGGGGAAGATGACCTTCTGACAATTGTGTAGAGCAATGAATAGCTCCACCTGTCCTAGCTCCAGCTTTCCCTGAACTTCAGTAGTGCGGAGGTAGCTTGGTTCATTTGCGCTTGGTAGTCATTGCCTTTTGATTGTAGGTATGTGAGGTGATACTCAGCCCCATTCCTAGAAGGCATAAGTTCATATAAACCCAATTGTTGCTTTTGAGAAACCAGATTACTGAAAAAAAAATCATTATGCAATGATTTTGGGGAAAATTCATGTAATGAATTTGAATTAGTACTGTGGTAGTACGTCTATTTTCATCTCATATTCCAGCAGTCTCTATTTTACAGTGATCTTTAGATTACTAAGATGTTACACTCAGAGCAAACATTTCCATGTACTTTCTATATTGGATACCCGTTGCCAAAACCCAATACTATCATCAGCTCATGAGCATCTTTTCTGAATATATCTTACTTCTATGGAAAAAAAAACTTTCTCATTGAATCCCTCCTATCATTCTCAGCAATTTAACAGTCTAATTTATAAACCAATCACAGCAGAAGTGTGTTTGCAGAACTTTTCTGAGTTTTGATGGGACTGATGTGGCAGGTAGTAATTATTAACAGAAATAACAACTCCCCAGTTGTAAGAACATTTTATTTTCTGAAGTAAAGCTGTAAATCTGTGTCCTTTGATCATTTAGAAGTAGTACAGTATGTTGTGCAGCTTCTGTCTCTGGAGGGACATAAATAAATTACTCTGTAGCAGTCACATTTGATAACTGATACTACCATTATAGTACCTGTGGCAAGCCTTCCATTAGTGTACCTTTCAAAATGCAAAATTGTCTTGGCAGCCAACATTCTATTTATTACTCTTTTTCTATTCTTCTGTCTTCTATCCTTTGAAAGAAAAATAAAATTTCCAGAAAGTTTCTCATAGTATTCATTACATTTCGCAAGATCAGTTACGTTTTCTACAGTTACGGATAATTTACAAGAGCTAGAGCTGCACCTGTAATATGCCATAAAAAGGAGAGAGAAAATTTAGCTGTGTAATCACAATTTTCAACACAACTTCGTAGTAATAAGTTCTAATACAATGGGAAGTACACACAGAATCCTGTAATCTCAGGCTAAACCTAACCACATTGATTTTCTATTTCCATGTAAAAAGCAGATTTTCATTTCCTTCAGTTAATCCCAAACATAGTAGTTTTGACACAGTCCAAAAAGCTTTGTTCTTCTTGCAGCCAAGATTAAAGTGTACAGTATATTAGCCTGCTGATGAAGTAAGTGAGGATAACAAATGGTTCATGACAAGATGAGACGTATCAGAAAGACTATGAAATAGAAGTGTCACACTCTGAAGTAGTATTCTTTATTTATTTTTTCTCTAAATACCATATTTTTAATTCTAGCACTCCGGCATTGGTGGAGCAGCAGCTGGCAAGAAGAACAGAACTTGGAAGAACCTAAAACAAATTCTTGCTTCTGAAAGGGCATTGCCATGGCAACTAAATGATCCTAGCTGTAAGCTGCTTAGACGCTTTGCATGTATTTATAAATAATAAAATCCACACAAATACCTTTCTTTAAAACAAACCTAAATTATTTCATCAGCGCATGCAGTATCCTGCTTGAACAGGGTCCAGTAGTACATTTAAGACTAGTCCAATCACACTCACCAACCCTAAGTGGAAAGTAGGGGGAAGCAAATAATTTGGAGTATTGTGAGAAAGTTCAAATACATTTGGGGATAGAGTTTAATAAAGGAAATGTATTTATCTGAACCAGGTCAGAAACTCCTTATTCCCATCAGGTTTTTGTCACCTCTTCACTGCTGAGGAGCTGCCTCCTCCTCCGCATACAGCCCAGATGTCTTCTGACAGGTGGCTGCTGCTTGATTAGCTATATTTGAACTATTTTCAAATAGATTCTGCTAAGCCACATACCTGCAGTAGCTTAGACCTCAGCCCAAGCTTCCTATCCAGCTCCTTATCCTAGATTATTGGGAGATTTGAATCCTACATCCCCTATTCAGCTCAGCAGAGCTGAAACTACACTATTAGCAGTCCTGATTACAGCTAGCTGGTGTTCATCTACAGGAGCAGAGCTACAGCAGTGGTCTTAATCTAGATATACTTCAAGTCTACCTGTAAAGTAGGATACTAGTGAACGTAGCTGGAGACAGAATGTGGTCCTCAGATTTTACCTAAGCAAGTGGAGGCATCTCAGAATTGAGCATACGCATATACTTTTTGTCAGACTTGGTGCTTTATCCAAAAATAGCTTGCCATTTTTTGAAGTGTTTTAGATGCAACTGTTACAGAAAAATGCAGACTACTGTGTGTTCCTGGCTATTGTAACTGACAATCTGCTGATGTTGCTATTTCTATTATGTTCTGTTTGCAACAGTAAATTTACAGGCTGTTTTTTAAGAAGGTGGGGAAAAAAATTCAGTTGCATATTTAAAACCAGCTGTCTGTGGCATTAGTGTCTTTTGAATTATGAGACGATGAGTTAGAAATTTGATATGCATGGAGCGTTTGAATTGATCATAGCATCTGAATGAGGTGCAAGGGAGATCAGGAAGGAGGAAAGAAATGAGTCAGGTACAAGATATTTTTGTAAACATCCAAAATTGGGGATTTAACTACTTAAACATACCAACTGTATGTTAAAAATGTTTATGAACGAGAGTTGCTATCTAAAGGGTACCACAGAACAGCAATTTCCATCATTTAATTTAAACATTCAGACAATTTTCTAGGTCATTGACTGGCCTTAAAGCGGTACATGCTTAAAGATTTAACTGATTTAAAAGATTACTTTGCTTTTCTGGATTATAGTATTTCAGACCTGCAATCCTGAGCAATGTTTCGAGGTATTAACATACACCATGCATATGATAATGACTGTTCTTTGCAAATAACTGACTGCAAGGGAGTTCATTCAGACTTTGAAGAAATCAATACATTTCAAATAGCTCTCTTGCATTTTTCCTTTTGGGGAGGGCAGTTCTGCTTACTGAACCCTTATTTAGAGAGGTGAGCAAAATCAGGCTGTTGTTTACAGTGCTAACAGGCTAAATGTATTCAGAGATAATTCTGCTTCGTATTTCTTTGCCTTAGTGCTGCTAGTTAATAGAGAATTCAGAAAGTAAAGGTGGCATTTTAAAGAAGTACTGTTACCTACAGTTGTGGTTTAACCCGGCAGGCAGCTAAACACCACAGAGCCTCCCCCCCCCCCGACCAAGCCCCAGCCAGGCCCCGAGCAGCGGTCACCCCTCCCCCAGCCAACTCCCCCCAGTTCATATACTGAGCATGACGTCACATGGTATGGAATATCCCTTTGGCCAGTTTGGGTCAGCTGTCCTGGCTGTGCCCCCTCCCAGCTTCTTGTGCACCCCCAGCCTTCTCAGTCGGTAGAGCATGGGAAGCTGGAAAGTCCTTGGCTAGTGTAAGCGCTACCTAGCAACAACTAGAACATCGGTGTGTTACTAACTTCATTCTCATCCTAAATCCAAAACACAGCACTGTACCAGCTACTGGGGAGAAAATTAACTCTATCCCAGCCAAAAGCAGGACACCTATTTACATTTTGGGTTTGTGTTTTACAATATATATAGCACACTGAATTTATCCCTTTGTTTTTCTCTAGATTTTAATATTGATGCTCCTCCTTCCTTTAAGCCTGCCAAGAAATACTCAGACATTTCAGGACTCCCAGTAAGTATTGTATTTTTCTCTTCAAAATTGGCATCTCACTTTCCACAATGAAATAAAGCTGGTGCATGCTTTTGTAAAAGCTGTACTTGCTAAGGTTCCTATTCAGCCTTGCACTTAATAGTTGCCCAGTGATTTAGGACCAAATCCCAAATACTGTCACTACATCACAAAATCCTTTGGATGTTAATAGATGTCAGGACAGATTAAATACCTTGTCCTGCCAGGTGGCTCCTGTCACACCACTCTCCCAGCTGTAGCGTCTGCATTGGTCTCCATCATTTCTGATTCTTTAGATTGTTACAGTGAAAGCTGGTGGCCCACAGTCTCCATGACTCCTAACTTTGCCAAGCTTTAACCACACAGACTGAAACTTTCCATGCTGAGTATTTGCCTGAGGCTGATTTATTTAATTGTATCTTTTAGAGAAAGTTTCAAAAAGATGGCTCAGCGATTTCCAAGAATGAGATTAGGCAAAGTTATATTGATTGGCCCAGGTTAAAAAAAAAAAAAAAATCTTATCATTACTCTCAAACTTTCCATCAAACAAATCAGCCTGAGACAGACATTTGGCATGGACTTTTGAGAATTTCAAATACCCCCATGCTTCAGACCTGGAACTTGGAGTTTGGCAGATGTATAGCCTGTGTGTCACAGATGGGCTCTTCTACATGGTTTTGTTAAAGAAAAAAGAAAAAGAAAAGGAAAAAAAAATCCCTACATTTGACATAGACACAGTTTGCACACGCTCCAAAAAATCTCAGTAGTTACAATTTGGCACCTGAATTCCCCAAAGATTCTGTTGGCACAAAACAGGAGTAAAGTCATTGAATTCTGCCCAACAAAAATTTTGTATCTGCTGCTGACACTGTTCCTATGTGACATGAATAATTTTACTTAAAACAAAACAGGTGTTAGTAACAGCACATCTTTTCACTTTTCACCTTCAGCCCCCAGTGATTTATTTTGCAGAAGCCTATGCATTTATTACAATTGAAATGAATGGGAATGTTGTATTTTGGACTATAAAAAGGGTTAAGTAATGGTTATGCTAAATAACAACAGTAATGAAAACTTTGTAACATCATATAGATGTTACCTTAGACAGAATTTCTGGGTCCCTTCCCCCAGTTTAATCTGTTTCTCATCCGTAGGGCACTAGTCCACCTCACAGGGTTGATATCACCTTATAGAGATGCCTGTAAATATACACATTTGTTATGTTGATGCAGGTTAACACAGCACCTTGCATTCTGTACACTGAATTAGGTGAAAGTCCCTGTTGGGGAAAAAAAAAAGGGTGAGCACTTAATTAAGGACTGCCTTATAGTGGATACACAGTGCAAGGGATCAAAGAATAGCTATAGCACCAACTGTAATCCTGCACATCCTAACATTTGAGTTCTTGATTTGGCAGCGTATGTTTTCTTGGACTTTATTTTTTAAGTAACACATTTAAATAAGGCACCTAGGAGGTGGCATGTTTCCAGCCTGTGCCTTTGAGCATGATTTAGAAATGGAGTGGGCTGGTCGGATCGAGGCTGGTAACTCTTGGTGTTCAAGAGGGAATGGGAAAGCAACATCTCCCTCGCAGATGACCTGGCAGACAGCAAATGGCAGAGGCTGCTCACAAATCCAGGGAAAATAGTTCCCTCCAGCCAGGCAGAGTTGCAGTCTTGTACTCATAAGAGTATTGTTTTGATATAATAGCAACTTGTTTTCAGACAAGGAGCAGGGGTCAGTTGAATAAGGAACTTTGCGTAAGTACCCCTACTCTATATAAAGATGCAGTGGATGGAGGAATGGGGGATAGGTGGACATGTAAAATAATAAGGAGTAGATTTCACCAAAATAGCAAAAATCCATATTGGGTCACTTAATGGTGTTTATCTGTTTCCTATCCTCTCCCCTTAGAGTTGCTTTGCAAGTGTTAGTAGCATTCACACCAGGTGTTATTAGCGTTGCAGCAACATCTCTGACCTGTGAGGGGCTTATGTGGGGCAGACAGCATAAGGGCGTAAGTCCCTTTCACTGCCCCCTCTCCAAGGAACCAAATAATGCTTTCCGGCACTGGCCTTTGATGGATTTCAAAACTAGTCAGTCATTGCACCTATGCGAGATGATGATGCAGGTTATAGGTGTGAGTGAAGACTGTGTCCCTACCAGCTAAGTGTCAGTTTAGCCATAGGAAATAAGAGTCTTCCTCTCAGTTCCTCAGTTTTTCTTTACCAGCTCCTCCTTTCCGTCGGTGATTTATGTACTTTAACTATTCTAGCTCAGTATAAATACTCTCCTTTCTATATTAGTCCATTCAGTGCTGCTTTTGTTTCCTTTTTTTGTCTTTCCACTTTCTTTTTTTTTTCCCCTTAATTTTCCGTCCTTTAATTGCATCGTGAGTCAAGTTTCCTATTTTACCTGGCCTGCAAGGTTTCTCCAGACTATGATAAAAATATCGTGTTTAAAAAAAATCTTTTTTATTAAGATAACTGAGACAGTGTGTCCTTTAATTTGCTAAGCCAGAAATGTTTCATAAGAAGCACTAAATTTATTTTCAAGATCATTTCCTAGTAGGAGGATATGTGGGGTGATAGAATATTTTAGAAATATAGTATAAGAAAAATGTCCCTGTATTTTCTGTGTAAAATCTGAAAGCATTTGTGTAAGAATATATTTTCTATGGGAATGCTGGATTCCCCATGGGGAAAAAAAAAAGTAAAATAAATTCCTTAGCATTACCCATTTAGGGAAGAATTAAATGGTCTAGCAGGTGCAAAAAAAGAGAAGTGTATTAAAACAATCTCATCAGTATACCTGCAGTTATATTAAATGCCACAATTAAATTCTACTGATCCTCTCCTCTTTCTGTGTGTAACACAAATGGAATTAAATTTACCAGTGGTCTAAGCAGAGCAGCCAATTTATATTTGTAGGGCAGTCTAGAATTCAAAAGCTATTATCTAGTATATTGACACTGCAAAATAAAACTTTATTTCCAAACTTGCAAGATGAGTATTTAGGTATTTTAACATGCAAAACAAAGTAATTTATTGTAAAGCAGATTAAAAAAAGGCCAAACTTTCAAATGTTTATATTCCTCTTCCTTTTCTGAAAATGGATCCGTCTTGTTACTATAGAAACAGATTGAGATAACTAATTTATTGTATTTGAAGAGCATGTGTCTGTGGCCTTTGACTTTAGTTTCTAAACATGACGAGTTTTTTCTTTGCAAAATCCCCTTACTTTACTTTTCTAATCTGTTTTAATTATTGCTTAATTAGTGGTAGAGTTTGTTTTCAGACTGAAGTCATGGCATAAATGATTAGTTACCATACATTAGTGTGCGCAAACAGTACAGCCCAGTATCAGAATGGTGAAGAACTGCCATAATATTTTTAACCTAGATTGGTGCGCAACACAGATTGCAGATATTGCTTGGCTAGTTTATTACAGAATCATGCACATTTGAAAAGCAGTCTACTTGGTTAGCTTTTTCTTAGATACGTGAGGCCAGTTTTAAAGTGTGGAATAAAAATAAATTTATACCTGCTGTAACCATGAAGTTACCACCAGGGATAATTCACTCCTAATGTCCTAACTTTGCCATTTGTTTGAAAATTAATTGATGGTTTGACTGTTAGCTGACTACGTTTAATTAACCTTGTAGCATTTCTTTCTAAAGAAACAGGCTACAAATAACACTAAATTTTCTGCGAAGTCTTATTCAGGCCAGACGATTAACTGGATTGTTACCGTGGTCAACAGATCCTTTCCAACATAAAAATGGTGGAGGGCTCTGCACTTCAGCAGTGTGGATGGGGGGAATGCTCCAGCTCTTCCTGGCCTTTTCTTTTTTAGGAGCAATGTCTTAAGGGATCTCAGCTGCCTGTGCCTTGCAGCCTGCCACCGTCTCCTGTTAAAGAAGGGTACAGAAGACACTTTCAGAGCCTTGGCAGGCGCTCGGTAATTCAGTGCTGAACGGGCGGTGATTGTCCTGGAGGCTGAAGGTGCAGAGGCGATACTCTGAAGCCTGCCTTCTTCCGACCCAGCCTCCCTGCTGCCCCCGAGCTCATCTGAGCTCAAGGTTTCTGTAGGAACAGGGAAGGGGAGAGGGGATGGAAACTGGCGCCGCTCCCAGGCGCCCAGGGTCCAAATACAGCAGAGGATACAAGCGTAGCTCAGGGTTAGCTGGCCAGGCTGCTACCCTGAAAGCAGGCGTCTGTAGCAAAGCACAATGCTGAGTTCAAATTTCTTATCAGTTCAGTCACAGAACCATAAGCTGAGACACCCTCGCTTTAACAACCACTTTAAAGTAAATTAAAAGCTAAGTTGTATGCAGGAAGAGAAACTCAGTCCAAAGCTATCAGAGCACCCATAATTCAGCCTCTTTGTGGGTAATTTATTGGCAGCAGCCTGACTCTTTGGAGAGCTGCCTTGTGAGAGGCTGCACAAGGCACAGAGTTGCTAGGGTGAGTTTAGAGAGTTGAGGAATTTCTTTTGCTCTGTGTTTCGTATGAAACTATTTCAGCCCTCTGTTATGTTTAATGCATTTCTAATGTGATTTTATAGGGGTCTGTTAACTTCTCATAAGTTCTGACATGAGGAGAAAGAAAAAAGTACAAACTTTTGGTCACATGGTAGAACAGCAGTGCTGTTACTGGGAAAAGAAATTCACTATTTTGTGGTCTTGTAATTAGACGCTTTTTTTAGTATTCTGTTTTGAGATGTTCTTTGAATAGTGTCTCTGCCATTGTTTCTTTTTCAGGCAAATTACACAGATCCGCAGAGCAAGCTGAGATTTAGTACTATTGAAGAATTTGCCTATATTCGGATGCTCCCTTCAGATGTGGTTACAGGATACCTGGCTCTAAGGAAAGCAACAAGTATTGTTTCCTGAAGAGACCGAATATTGTTGTATATCGCTTGTGAACAGTGCTAATTTTGAGAATCATGATGGAAACTGACTGCGAGACTGAGGTTCCTTAAAACTATCCATGGATATTTACATCTGGAAGTAGTTGATGATACATGGAGTTGAAGAACATATGGATTTAATTTTGATAAATGCTGATATTTGTTAGTTTGCCAATTTGTAAGCAATTTGGTTTGGTGAACAGAATAACTTAGACCTTAAGGATACCTATCTGCACCATAATGTCTGAGTTACGTTAATTTCTGTAGAGATGGGATTTCATGTCCACCCTGTATATTTTATGTACTGCTCTGGCTCAGAAGGAACAGTCATTTGAATTAAGGAAAAGGTACCAAGGCATCCCAACTTCTAAACCTGCCTTGCCAGATGCGCTTGCCACTTGGCTGTGAAGAAGTTTGTCCCATCTGTAAAATGAAGCTGAAATACCTAGCAAGTGCTGCTATTGTGATGACTGTTTATGGTACTGAGCACTGTGGAAACGAACAGCTTCACACAAATATTTGCACTGAAGAACTGTCAGCATGAATAAAGTTGGACTCAAACTTGTTTTTAAAATATCCTAATGAATATGCGTAACAGAATCAAATCAAATCAAATCAAATCACCGGGTAAAACTCTTAATTGTGACACTTTGTAGTTTTTGAGTGCTTCATTTCACAACCTGATTATTCTTCTACCTTTTCTAGTTAGTACAATATTAGTACCAATTAGTACAAAAAAGTACTAATTTCCCAGACTTCTTACAAATGATGCTAAAAAATCAGGAATTCCACTGTCCAGTGGCGTTCTGACACCCAGATGGTCTTCAGCAAGGTGAGACCTCCTACGTCAGGACACTGACCTTTGCACCATGAGGTACTAGAAGAATAACTTAGAGCAACTGAATGTTGTCACCCTTTAGAGGAAGGAGACTGAAGGAGAGTTTGGACTCTTACTGGGGGGGCGCTGACAAGCATATGCCAACATCAGAATGACCATGATTTCCCGAAACTAGGTCTAGGGGCAAGGGGGCAGGGGGTTTTCTGCCCATTCTTTCTTTTTGTCCTCTTTCTTATGCTGATTTGTTGTCTTCTCACTTCTGCATCTTTGTCCCGGCCTTAGGCTCTTGTCAAGTTTTAATCTGGAGTCCAAGTTCAGGCTCAGCCATTCCTAGCCTCCAACCACGTGGCCTTCATGCCCCTGCTCCACCAACTGCCCTGTACCTGTGGCACATACCTCCCTTAGCTCTCTGAGCCAGTGGGTGTTAGCCAGAAAGGCGGCTAGGTGGGTTACCACTTGCTGTGGGAATACTCTCTTCCCGTGTGCAAAACTGCCAAGTGGAACACTTGTCCCATAGCTTGTTAGTCCTGGATTGTCCAGGTCGCTAAGGAGGTGAGACACTGATCACGGGACAGCAGTCCTGTCTCACCCCAGCTCCATCATGGACATTGGCATCTTGGGTGTGCAAGACACCTCTTTTCTCTGAGTGTACAAGCAGCAGGCAGTGGTGACTAGTTAACGTCTAAGCTGCGTCTTGAATGCACATTTCTATAGACATGATAATTATTAGAACAGATTTTTTTCTCATTGAAAGAATAAATATGTAGAGTGTTACCTATGCTAGTTTAGTTTCAACTCCAAAACAGGAAAAGCAATAATGGGACACATTGTTTAATGAACATCTGTGGGACTCATTCCTCAGTTTTTGTGATCTGATATTTACTAAACCAAAGTAATTTAAAAAGTCTTTGACATGCTTACAATAGATCCTTCAAAGCCCTGGATACCAGATAATGCTACAACTGTATCACAGAACAAAAAAGAATAAGACAGGGTATCTCTCTTCATGCCAGTAAGCATCCAAGCCACATTCTCTTTGCATCTGAGTTTTAGAATGGATATTTTTAACTTATTTTACAAACTAAAGATGTGTTATAAGATAAGCCTAACATTGATATGAAAACACATAGAACTGCTGTAAGATCATTTATGCTTTAAATAAGCAGACAGCAGCTCAGAAAATTGTATTTCACCAGCTTGTTCTCTCCTACAAACATTTTTAACATTCTTTGGGATGACTGTTTAGGAACCCAGGCTCCCTCACCATCAGAAGCGCTCCACGCACTCCTGCGCTGTATATTAAGATGTTGCTTCTCAGCTAATTTCTACCGCACCATGTTTATGATTCCATTTTCAAAACCTGTGTCCTACTGAATCAATCGACATCAGAAAATTGAATACAGCTTAGATTTGGCAAAAACGTTAGTGACTCTTCTCTCAATGTTTTCTGTCCATATGATGGCTGCTAGAATCCCTTTTCTTTCCCTGTTTTTTCCTTTGCTGGCTACTGGCCCTTTTTTCTTAGTCGGTAGTACCTCACTTTTACTCATTAGGCTGTGCAGTAGTCAAGCCAAGAGAGATGAGTCAGCCACCAGCACCATTCAGCCTTGCATTGATTGACAACAGTTTACTATGTGGAACAATGAAAATGAATTTGTTTTAGCAGGAAGCCGAGGACAGAAAAGATCTAGCAGCCAGCATGTACGATGTCGTCAGTCCAACTAGGTTCTTTTTGCGAACAGCATCTGGACCTGCTCCTCTCTTCAATGCCTTCTGTGAGAGAACTGAGCAATACCTACCTTGCTGCATGGAAGAGAAAATATGGCTTAAGCGAAGAGTTGGTCTGTGCCATGGAGTAGTTTTAAAGTTTGTTTTATTGCCAGCTTTAGAAGAAGTGAAAATTGAGGAGTACATTTATATTTAAAAGTACTTATGGGATGTTATCTAGATAAACATAAATTTATGTTTATGCAAAGAGGACAAAAGAAAGGCATTTGAAAAGAGAAGCAGTGACAAATACCATTTCAGACTTGGGGAGAATGTATTTTGACTAATAGTACTGCCGTATCTGTAAAGCAGAAAGCCAGCAGTCAGGGTAAGGACTAATTTGTTCAAGTACAACCGTTACTGTGAAGTATCGCCTGAATGCGTTACTTAATACAGACCATGGATGGCTTCAGCCTCACATGCATTTGCATCAATACGTTCCCCTGTCATCCCCCTCCATTACCCCTGTAACAGCTTGCAGCACGCCAGTTGCTAAGCTCCCCCAGAAATCCCACTGACATTAATGGGAAGTGAGCTTGTCCAGCAACTCGCAAGGTGCAGTCCAACTGGCAAAGCTTTACCCTTAGTCTTTTTCGTGGGTGGAAAGCATATTTTCCTTGCCTTATCTGTCCTATCCCTCAGAAAGAATGAGGATGTTCACCAGAGGCCAAGCTGTTTTCCTGTGCGGCTACCTGCCCCAAACACTGCCGGTCCAGCAAACACTGGAGGCGGGGGGTTCGCCTCCAGTTTACTGTGGGGTTTTCTGTTGTTTTGTGGGTTTTTTTTTTTTTAAGACTGCAATAGCTTGTATTTACCCCATGCTTTGGGTGGATCTACTTGCTCTCTAGGCCTGGGCAAAGCAGGCAACTGCCTCTGCAGCAGTCGGGCCCAGGGCAGCAAAACTGAACTACTACATACTAGTACGGCCAAAGCCCTGGTGCTGCAAGGACGCTGTGCTGCAGCTGGGGCGGGGGCTGGGGCGCGTGGGGCTGTAGGGCTGCGGGGCCAGCTGCTCCCGAGGGAAGGGGTGTGCTGGGGGCGATGAGAGGAGTGAAGGTCTCAACAGCTGCAGCTGCTGCCTCCGCCTTCCCATTCTCTCCAGTGGATGGGAGAGCAGGATGCTGGAGCTCCAGGGCTCTTGCCTTGATTTTTCACCGCTGGTTTGTACAGCAGGTCTGTACAAAGTCTCTTCGCTGCACCTGTACTAGGAACGACCTCGGCCCCATGTCCTGGAAAGCAGCAAAATTCAATTCAGACAGGCCTTGGGCCGGCTCATTTCAGAGCCCCTGCACTTCACTGTCCTGTATTTCCCGGCTTCCTCCCATCATAGCGTTCTGGATCCCTATGGAGTTGCTATATACGGGCTTCCATGGAGGACAGGAGTAGCAGGCACACGCAGGGAGATGTGCCTTGATCTCCTTTGGTAGAGGCCTGTAAGTGTCAAACCCCACCAAAGCACAAGGAAATTAAGGTAAGCAAAAGGGAGGGCTTTTTACTGGTGAAGAATATCAAAGTAAAAATTAACTAGTATAAGGTTAAAAAGGTTTTGTAAGTCCACTCTGTTAAGAAAAAAGCTCAAACTCCCTGCATGATTACAATCTTTTTCCTGAAGGGCTAAGTAATTTTTAGTAAATTCATAAACAATAATTTATTACTAGAAAACTTACCAATGGGTTTTCAGGCCTCTTACAATCTCTAACAATATACGTCTTTTACATACTCGAGACAAAATAGCACATCATAGTTTTTCTTTCTGAATCACTTCAGGGAAGACGACTTTCACAGACCTGATGTCAGGTTCTGGGAGAAAAACCCTGACTTAGTGCTCTTTTAAACAAGAAGAGTCAAGCGGTATCTGTATTGTTACTGAACACTTCAGTCACACTAAGATTATGATACCACTAATATTAGAATTCACAGAAATCCCTTCGTATTTTTCTCATTTTAGTATGCGTTCCCCAATTAAAAACCACTTTTCTCCGCCTGTTGGAGAGTGGATGGGTGGGACACAATAAAATAATACATCTTCAGCTAAGAAAAGCATTTTGTTTAAGTCCATTTGGTTTCTGTAAGTATTGCTTGACTTGGTTTTGTATTATCTGAGAAGCTTAACAAATGCAGTCCTTTCAGATGATTACACTACTGTAAATCACAATCTACAGACAGCAATAACAGTAATCTCTTGGGAGAGATAATAACAACTAAAAAACACTGTTTAAACTACTGGTAAGTAGTGCTTGTGTAATTGTATACGGTTTATGACCTATGAGATCACGTGTTAAGTATAGAACATCTCTTTCTCTGACACCGTAGCCTAAAATCAGTAATATCTACATAAAAATCATAGTACTAGTGGACTAGACAGTAAGTTGGTTTTGGGGCCGGCTGTGGTTACTGTTTGCCAGCACGTTCTCCTCTGGGCAAGAGCTCCCGTCAGTGCCTGCTGACTGCTGTGGCTCTGTTACTTGACTCTGGTCCGCCCAGCACAGCACCCCAGAAAACTGCACCTGGTTCATGGACAATCTGAAGTCTTCTCCAATGTCCCAAATCTGGGATGCAAAAATTACTCTTCTCTCAAGTGAAGAAATCGTTTACAAGCTGCTAACCACGCATAGCACATGTGAACAGCATCCCTTTTCTGTGCGAGTCTTGAATCCAAAGCATAGTTTGTGTAGAAGGAAAATAGGTGCCCCTCGCGTGGGTACTACTGTTTCAGCACAGGTCACACACAGGCAAGTTCTCAGCATCAGGTTTTGGAATTTGTGAAGAAGCTGCCTACCCATTCATGGGAAGAAAGTGTTTCCTGCCTCATCCTACCAAAATAAATTGGTATCCGTGCACATTCATTGCCTCCGTATAGACCTGATAAATCTGTAGCAATAAACCCTTATGAGCAGAGATGCAGGCCTAGTCCGCTTGGTCGGTGCTTGGCGGGCGTTGGGCACTGGGTAAGTAAGGGTAATAGGGAA